TGTACAATACTATCGTTTGACTCCATCATCAGCATTCGCTATTGGGATCTAGAAAACAATAGGATTCCACCGCAGTATGCATGCATTCAAAATCAAAGAGAATAATTCCCGCACATTCTCAAAATGACTAGAATGGAATCTTTAATCAATTGAAATTCCCTCTGTTTAGTTTCAAGACAAAATTTGTATAAATCCCAGCGCCCATTCATCCATGAATTTTAATAATTCTAGACCTCCACAGCTAATACGCATGATTTACTATCGAAGTGTTTACTGATCTATGTCACGTACTTTGCAATATCCCGTTACATATCATTGCACGTTTGTCATGTATTATAAATAATCCGCATCAGTGCGATCAGTTGGTACCATGTGCACCGCACTCGGGTGTCAGTGCGCTTTTCATTTTGAGAAATGAAGGAGTGAGGTTGTGTGTATAACATCCACCAACATGGGATATCTGTTATCATGAAATATTCAGTGCTCTGGGGAAAATACAAATCCTCGCATACTCCAGCGATATTTCTTTTCAATTCAAGGTACCTTCGGAGTAACAACTAGATTTGGGTGAAGATACGAATTTAAGGATATCCAAGTGCTTCGTTCAAGTTAGCAACTTTTTTTCAAGCAAGATTTTGCTTTTACCGAGAATCTTGCCACCCCTATACTTTTTTGGATTTTTCATTGTTAACTCGGGGAGGCGATGCCTACGCCGCTCAGCGGCTAATACCACTTACCTGATTTTCTCCACAACCATTACTTTTCCCACACTGTCTCTTACTCAATCTGATATCTCTACTATCAGGAGAGCTGGTCTATATACCGCCCACCTAAGGGAAATGTCTTTTTTTCCAGCCTCACATTCTACAAGGAGTCATAATAACGATTACAATGGGTTCTTCGAGGTGTTCAGTCGAAGATGTAAAGCGGACAGATTTTTTTATTAACATTAAACATATTTAATTATGTAATTCAATTGCTATCGACCAGTGATCGATGGAATCGAACTTTGAGGGTAATACAGTAGGATTCCTATAATTTCGACCCAACGCGGGAACGAATTCCGAAAAGTCGAAAATAGTCGGCCGGCCTCTCATTAGCCAATCCCGCGTAGTGGGGAGGTCAGACAGACGCATTATGTTGCTTTCTGTCTTCGGCCGTCGGGCAACAGTGAGTACATAACCCCAAAGTACATTTTTCCTAATGATTGAGGTTAGGGAAACACTCGGGAGCATAGGGCTATGCGCCCGGGAGATGATGGGACCATTCCGTAAACGGGAGGAGTGGGGACTGAAAGCATGAGAGTGGGTGCAGTGACTCCGCCCGTCGAAAATAGCCGGGTCGAAATTACAGGAGTCCTACTGTACCGCTCGGCATGCGTCCAATACCGCCCACCTTGTTTTGATGACTTTTTTTAGCAATGCATACCAACTGTTATAATTTTTCCTATTTTCATCCTTCGTTTCCATTCTTGGGCTCCATTTTGAGAAAGATTTCACGTGAATAATAATAAATTATTCAGAATTTACCCGATGTTCCAGTGACCACCAACTACCCCAAATATTCGAGCTATCACTCGACCGCCCTCTAGCTGCAGAGTCTAGTAGCTCTATAGAAATCTTGAGCGGAATTACCCACAAACGCGGAGGCTGATGAAATAGCCAATAATAACTCATGAAGATATTTTTCTGCTATCGAAAAAGTCGCAATAGATGAGGAAATGTATAATGCAAATTATTTCGCATTTCATTCAATTATGGACCAACTGGAATTTTGAAAAACCTTAAATTCTGGGGTTGAAATATTTTAATAATTCGGTAGGAAATGACTTTGATTTTTTCTAACGATGTTGCCACAGTAGAAAATTGAAAATTTCTGTTGAAATTACATGTTTTTATCAAATATTTTCATAATAAAAAAAGGGAATATAAAACTCTCAGCCATTCCTGAGAAATATGGATGGACTGTAAATCTCATGAAAATTTTCGTTCTTTCACCCCTTTAAATGATGAAAAAAACAGCCCAGGATTTTCAGGGCTCTGATTCAAGCAATTTTTCCCCGAAAGTAAATGGTAAACCAGAAAATTCCGGTAAATATATTCTGGAATTTTCAGAAGAGTGACACTGAATGCGATTTTTCCCCCTTAATCGCATTCAGTGACACTGAGTGCTAGTCATGATTTTTTCCCCCTAAATCGCATTCAGTGTCACTATTCCGAAAATTCCAGAATATATTTACCGGAATTTTCTGGTTTACCATTTATTTTCGGGGAAAAATTGCTTGATTCAAAGCCCTGAAAATCCTGGGGTGTTTTTTTCATCATTAAAAAAAAACATTCATTTCACATTTATCAAACATTCATTTAGAAAAAAATGAAATTTCATGGACAATTGACTACTAATTTTCAGGACAGTGACACTGAATGCGATTTAGTCACGATTTTTTCCCCCTAAAAAAATTAAAAGATTGAAGGAGGTGAAGTTTGTTGGAAATATACGTTTTCAAGCCAGATGATCCTTTTCAATCAATTAGTTGGGAAGCAATTAAATGATTGAAATCTCTTCCATTTATAAATTAAGAATATCCAAATATGGTGATTTTTTTCTGGGGGAAATCCCCTTCCGAGTTTGTACAATAGACCAAGAGTATTTTTAAAAAGAATTTTTGAAAAAAAGAAATTGAACAGATTGCGTCCACATTGTTAGAAAAAAAAATGAAATTTCATGGACAGTTGACTACTAATTTTCAGGACAATGGCACTGAATGCGATTTAGGGGGGAAAAATCGTGACTAAATCGCATTCCCCCGATCGAATTCTTCGCTCAATCCCTTTTCTTAGGTCGTTTTCCTTGCCTCTACGATCTATTTTCCTTTTACTTGATATTATATATTGAAAAATTTGGCTCTTGACTTGTAACTACATCGGCACAAAAAAGAAGAATAAGGTGGCATACCCCACGTACGAAATGCCAGTGTTGGAGAAACATGAACTTTCTGATGGTTTCTGAAAATGTGATGTTTCAAATTCGTTCAAGTAGGTTTCAGTTGAGTGTCGACGCACAAAAAGTGCCGGGTTTCACACTGTAGTGTGGAACCCTACACATCTGTGTATAATCCCGTGCGTAACCCATGGGCATGCGCAAATGCACGGGTCGATGCGCAGATCGATGCGCAAATGGTCGTTGCAATATCATCGTTGGATTCCGCACATCCATTGCGCATCGACTCGCGCATCGACTCATAACATCGCCCACTACCTCACTTGTTGGTATCCACATAACCCTCTCAATATTCTGTCGTTAAATTTATTCATTTATTCAATATAAAAGCAGTGAAATTAAATGGACAACCACATCATACCCGACAGTGACGAGGAGATTGATCTCTCGGGAGATTTATTTGATGGAGATTCGACATTCTTTATATTTTTTTATATTTGTAACCAAAGTTTAAAGTATTTTTCATGTAGAAAATGTTATATGTGAAAATAAATTTTCATCTAGTCGTTGAATATATCCCTTCGAATTTCATTTTTTTATTCATTTTTCAAATTTTCCTCACCCAATTAAATTGAGAAATTTGATTTTAAACAATTTCCAAGTCTGAACTTTTTTTTATTTTTGATCTTGATTTTGATTTTTTTTTGTTTTTCAGTGGGGGGGGGGACGAGGCCCTCCCAACCCCCCCCCCAGCAGGGGCTTCACCCCTGCACCCCGCGGGGGCTTCACCCCCCTGGACCCCCTTCCCCCCCCTTTTCGCCGCGCACGCACTTATGGTATAAAATAGTATACGCAACTCGGGCGAGCAGCAAGCGGTTACGCACGAGGGCGGCGCAGCTTGCTTCCCGCACTTGTTGCGTAATATACTATTCTAGTGACAATCAATTATACATGATAGAAGGAAATGATGTGAACAGATATAGAATTTGAAAAAATGCGAAATAATTGTCGGAGGTTGGGTTTGACCACAACCCTTCCAGTCTGAACCTTTACACACATGACTATCCACTGAATAAGGAAATGATGTGTAAAATAACAATTCGGAAGCATATTGCTAATTTATTAGCAAAAATAACTATACTATATTCCATACAAGAACAATTTCCCACTTGATTTTTTTAGTTATCGTGAGACAACCGACTTCCGAAAAAATTGAAAAATTAAAAAACTAATGGATGAATGAAATTTGAATTAATGGCAATTGATAGTGCTCAACAATACCTAGATTTGAAAAAAACACCCACGGACGAGGTCTCAAAATGGCATTTTCGGACTTTTTAAATCATCCTGGGTCGATATAATACAAAAAATCAAAAAGTTAAATTTGGAGGATTCCAAAGCTGCCATTCGAAAGCAAAAAATGAATAAAAAAACTACAAAAACCCTCAAACTCATGAAACCTAATACAAGATGAACAAGATTTATTATGCACGTTGCGAGGATGTTAGGTTAGATTAGAGGTCGAAAGCATACGGATATACCGTTGAGTCTGGTGTGCTTCTCGTTTATTATGCGAGTGAGGTTGGCTCAGGTTACGATGGGCTCGAGCTTGGCATAAACCTTGCCGACAGACGGTGAGATCGAGGAGTGCAAGCGAAAACGCCGTAAGGGGACAAGGACAAATGGAGAACCGTGACGTCGAGCAACTGAGACGAGTTAACAACTTCACTATCCAATGCTTCAAAAAGTCGAGAAGACCCGTTGGAGGCGAGGGGGTGGGGGGCGGGGGGAGTGAAGGAAGTGATGGCAGAGAAATTCCAGTATTACGGTTCTATTTTCCTCTGTTCCTGAAGCACCATACGTGAAATTCTACCGTGTCATGTTATGTTATGCGATAAGGATTATAATGAGAATGGATATTATGTTATTAATGGATTGCCTGCATTTTTCATGCGTGTTGAGTGACGAGGACTAAGCAAGTACATTTTATCGTTTGTGTAATCCCTCCTTGAAACTCTGATAAGCCGGTTAAACTGCTCGACAAGCGCTCATACGCTTTCTGTGCAAGCGGGTCAAGTACTTTCGTTTCAGTGATGCGTAGTTCTCATGTTTTATATTTCTTTTTGTGGATTATTTTGTAAGTGGGGATATTTTTATACCGGGAATTGTTCGGGGGAAATTCGTTGCATTGATTCGCAGTGTTTGGTTAATGTGTTTTCTCGCGGAAACTAATTGTGGAGTTCATTAATTAGTTGTCAATGTTAAATAGCACGCGGGACAATGGTTAAAGTAGGATAAACATAACTTGAATTTTGAAGATTGAACTGCTTTAATAAAAAATAAAAAATCCAGTGTAACGTTTTTTGAAGCAAATCTATTCGGCATATTGTGTCATTAGAATTTTTATAAATGATGATAGTATACATTAAACATATTATAATAACAGTATATTATGTTATATTCTATACTATACTATATTATAATACATTATGCATATATAATGGTATATGTAATATAGCACAATATCGTATATTTAATGTATGTTATTATTATTATCAGTTTATTATTTAATTCTTTTAATTATGTACTTTATATTTTATAACAATATAGTATTCTATTATATATTGTATTATTGTGATATCTTCAATGTATGCTATCACCATTTATAAAAAATCTAATGACACAATACGCCGAACAGATTGGCTTAAAAAACGTTACACTGAATGTAGTATATATTATTATATACATAAAAAAATATAATACATTCCTGAACCTTTTTTTTCGGAAAACTTGATATTAACTTCAGAAATCTAATACAACACTATTCATAAAAATTGACGTACATTACGCCTCACGGAGTAGGACATACGCGCGCAGAGCGCGCGGACTAATCTAGTCTAGAAAAAACGTCTCGAATAGCGAGAAAATAATGAACAAAAATTCTCTGAAGGCAGCTGAGTGTACATTGTTAGTTTGCGGCTAATTTACATGGATTCAGCCCTCCGGTTTTTATTCATATGTACCTTCAAGAGTATGGGCTTGGTGAAAACAGGGTTTTGGGGGAGGAATAACTATGGTAAAACATAGTTTGCCGGGTCAATTCATTTGTTCGACATCTAGTATTTAAAACCATCTTTAAAATAATTAGTATAACGTTAGAATTCGAATATCATCAAAACTACTATGTACTACTTTGATGCAAAACGTATAAGTCGTGGGGTCATGAGTGCACTATTGTTGTGGTCCTTTCTAATTATATCCATCATTTTTTTAAACTAAATTTCAATGGATATAAGGTATTCCTTCGTCAACTCCGCCGTACCTTCTTACGACTATAAAATTAATTTCATATGGATATACCTTCATTTTGAAGAATTAATTTATCGATGAGGTAACCAAGTTCTTAAAGGAACCAATAGTTGCTGATAAAGAATTCACTCCTCAGCAACTCTTGACGTGACCCAGGACTCACGACGGGGACATAGTTGGTGGAGAGTTCCAAAAAGAAAATATATAAAAAAAAATTATTAATTACGTATATTCAAATTTAATCGATGGCCTGTGATATCCATGTACCATTGATTACCAAACAATTTGCAATCATTCTCTGCTTTCAGAGTTTATTAATGTCTATATTTCCCCGCTAACCAGTCTAAACTAATAACTATGGTATAGGCAAAAGCAAGTGAAAAACCCTAATTCTCACGGTGGGGGGAAGGAGGTGGGCACCTCCTTCACTTTTTTTTCTCCGCGCACTCTACAAATATCAAGTTATTGACAATCAAAAACGATCCATTCAACCCCTGTCTGTAATGTTTCATTTTCATTTCCATCTTGTGGTCAAATATAGTTTTACGGTGAAAAATCAATAGTTACTTTCGGTTCGATGATTGATTCCCATCATTTTTTTTCCAGTTATCCTCTCCTTCTCAATATCAAAATTGAACTTGGAACCGCTACACCATCAGAAGTGTATTACTACGGTATCGATATGAAGAGAAAATATCTGAGTATGAAATTCAATGATTACGTTCGAGTGGACGGAGATCCCACTGGTGTGGATATCACCGTAACTTGGTTGAAGGATATCACCAGATCGGCAGACATGGAGGTCTTTTACATAGTTCAAACGGTAGAGGGCGAGGAGATTGCATCGAAATTCTTCGATTTACCAAGCCTGTGCACAGAACGTTACTCATACAACAGCTGGGATCGCAATATCATGGAAATTTATATTCGAGAAATGACGAACCTGGGATGCCCCATCAAATCGGTATCGTATGAATATTGGGTATCAATGAACTGGTGTTTTATCAAAGTGAAAATTGACGAAAACTCACTCCATTCTCTAGTTTCATGTTGTTTGCGCATGTGAGTGGAAAATTTCGCAGGAGAAAATTCGGGCGGAACTCGAGGGAACTCCCACTGCGTCTCGTTTATTCTAATTTAACTAGAATGAAAATTTTCTAAATTAAAAAGTTTAAATTTTCAGTACACGGTGTTACTTACAAATTTCATTAGAGAGAACGCTAGAGTGTTTTGATACATGCGAGTCATTATGAGTGGGGTGAAGAGTCTCATTCGCAGTAGAAAGAGTTCCCTAAAACTTGAGGGCGAGATGTTGTGTAAATATACAAAGAAGGGGAGGTTCGTTTGGCCCGGCGGCCAGTTTTAAAGTGGCTTTAACTGATCCTCATGCCAAATAAACATCCGTTCTATTCGCATCCACGGCCAATTATTGTTTCCCAGTGAAAGCATTTTCACCTTTTCAAATTTTGGTTGGAGATGATGTAGAATTGTTTGAAATATAAAAATACAAAGTTTGACAACAAGGTCCAGTTACACTTTTAAAAATTTTCGTCTGAACTACCCCTGTCAAATTCCTGAAATTTTTATGATGTTCAAGGGCCACCGAAATTTCAGGAAATCTTGTCATTGAAATATCAAATATTCCACTGATTTTCTGTTCAAATGATCTAAAAATCAATAATATACTTGATTTTTCAGGTCAATTATTCTATGAAAATTCAGAAAAATCAGGGAAATTCAGGGAAAAATTGAAAATTTGTCATTTTGTTTCTGAATATCCATGTTGTGTTTCTGAAAATTCAATCAAGTTGTGAAATTTCCATCTCACTCCTACTTAAAACTCGTGAATTTTCTTGAATTCTACCTAAAGCTAGAAATTCCATAACCGTTTTTCCCCTACATCCGATTCAATGTCACTCTTATAAGAATTACTATTATATTTTCCACGAAATTTCAAAAAATTTCTGACTGTGTACCGGCATCATTGAGGAGTTTAATTTTTCATAAATTGAATACCGTCAATGTCCCAGTTACTGTCAGCAGAAGCTTTCCGGTTGCTAAATGAGGGTCAAATAATTAAATTTTTTTATTTCGTATTTGAGAGCAATTACCCGGGTGGAAATTTTGCTCAGGCCACCTAAAGTCGGTTTGAAAATGGATCCGTCTGTAGTTAGGGTTGACTGATCAGGCTCAGTGTTTCTGAGGTCAGGCAGCCTGAAATCACTGTTATCACATTCGGATTTGGCAACTCTGATTTCAATTTGAAAAGAGTACCTGGGGAGGGTAGCCTCTGCCTTTAGCGAACGCTGCACACCTCCCACAGGTCGAAAAAGTTTTTTTCGTCATTCAGGCCCGTTAGGTAGCGCCTACTATAGCTGTCTTGAGGGAAGCTAAATGGCGTTTAACAGACCAGGTCTGTTAAACGAAGCACAGGTATGGTTAACTCGAGTTAGCAGCCCTAGGACAATAAAAACATACAGTTTCTAGATGGGCAACCCACAAAACCTTCGTAGGAATACAACATGAAGTGTGCGGTTATCGCTGTCACTTGCTTGAAAACTCGGCGGATCGTTCACCACTAATACGATGCGCCACCGTCATTGCCGATGACATCAGGAGTTGTTATTCCGTTGCTAGGGAGTCAGTCGTAACTTGAGGGTTATATTGTCAAAATATTAGTTTAATAAAGAGATTATATTCACTTTCTCGTTATATATCTATTTTGAATAGATTATATATATATTTCTATTAAAATGTGATGAAAAATTTGAGTATGTTGTGAGAAGAAGAGGAACGATGAAAAAGAAAAGTTGTAAACTGTAGATGTTCACACGTTGATTTTCTCATGAGAATAAATTTAGAAAAATGATTAATCCTTCTTTTTATTCTTTCAATTTGTTGCAATTTCCATTTCAGGAGGAGGAAGATTTCCATTCTCATCTAGATGTTTTTTGAATGTTTTTGACAGACTCCGTGAATTACAACTTTTGCATTCGTTCTTTCGAATCTCAATTTAGGATTTTGCATCTCTTTTTCTTCAATATTTTCTCTTCACTTGTCATTTCGTTTTTCTACAGTGGGGGGGGGCTCCCCCCCCCCCCCCAACGCCCCCCCCACCGGGGCCTACGGCCCCTGGACCCCGCTTCTGCGCCCCCTCCCCTTTTCCTCCCCCTCACCTTCAGCGGGCCTTCATGACAAAAAATAGTATATGTCATACGGACCGTGACGTCGGTTTGCGATTCGTGTGAGTTAGCAGCACTCATCGCAAACCTCCGTCTACGGTCCTAATGACACAATATACTATTACGCACTCCTATCGGAATATACTATACTGACCGGCGGGAGTGCTCCGAAGGGTCAAACAACAATTTCTCATGAGTGTCGAACAGCGTTAAAAAATGTTGTCAGAATTCTCCGTTACACTTTTTCGAAATTTTTATCGAATTTAATTACCACTGAAATTTCAAGAAATTTCGTCATTGAAAATTCCGTAGAAAAATCAAAGAAAACTGCTAACTTCAGTTCCATTTTTCCCTGAAAATGAATAGAAAACCAGAAAATTCCGGTAAATATATTCTTGAATTTTCAGGACAGTGACACTGAATGCGATTTAGGAGGAAAAAATCATGGAATTTCAAATTTCACTGAAAATGCAATGTAATTTGGCACTGAATATTCATATTAGATTGGAAATTTAAATAAATAGAGGAATTCTCGTCTTTAGGCTGCCTAAAATTCTGGAATTTCACTTAATTTTCTGTGAAACCTGAAATTTCATGATTTTTTCTCCTAAATCGCATTCAGTGTGACTGTCCTGGAAATTAGTAGTCAATTGTCCATGAAATTTCATTGAATTGAATTTTCATGAATTCCTAGTTTTCACGACTGAAAACCCCACCAGAGTTGGTTTAGTTTGTTCCTAGTTTTTTTCATGACTGTCCTGAAAATTAGTAGTCAATTGTCCATGAAATTTCATTGAATTGAATTTTCAGGACAGTAACACTGAATGCGATTTAGGGGAAAAAATCATGAAATTTCAGATTTCACTGAAAATTCAATGTAATTTGGCACTGAATATTCATATTAGATTCAAAATTCAGATAAATTAAGGAATTCTGGTCTTTAGGCTGCCTAAAATTCTGGAATTTCACTGAATTTTCACTGAACCCTGAAATTTCATTTTTTCCTAACCCGATTTTTCAACACGATGCAAAAAATCATACAATTTATTCCCACTGCACCCCCGAAAAGTGAACTCGGCAGATGTTACAAAAAATAGAGTGTTACACGTGCGTGCGAAAAAGTGAAATTTTATGCACTTGTAACACAATAGTAAAATGAAATACGAATTACCTTTCGATTAATTATCACGTCTCTTTTTCAGGAAACTACGATCAACCCGCCTGCCACATTTACTATCTTCCTGACATTTAATCATAAAATTCCATGCACAACCCTGCAATTTATTATGGACCTCTACCCCGTCGACGAACCCGACTCTACGGCATTTCTCCTCTTGGAGGGTAATGTACACTCGTACCATGGTTGTTGAGGAAAAAACCCCTCTCACCCGCTTTCCCTCTCTCTAAAAAAAATACCATCCAGATACTCGTGACAATTATATTCCCATGTTAAGGTTATAGTTTCAAATTAATTGAAGCGAACAATTTGAATAAATTTACATAATTGCTTCGCGTTTACTTAACTGAAAGCAATTCACCTGAATTCAATTTCAGCTTTTGTAGATGTTCTTTTATTTCCTCCTTCCCCCATCTGGATTTGCAAAGATATGACGAACATCCACGTCAAGTTACCGCTCAAAGGTAGGAGAAAAAGTATGTTTGAGTGGGGAGAATGGTGGAGGAAAAAGGGTTTTAGGAATGAGGGATTTGTTTTTCCACTTTAACCGACGGAAATTTGTCATACATAAATGGATGACGGAAGTAAACGGGTATGCGGAGGCACTCGAATGGAAGGAAATTTTATATTTCGCAACTGTGTAAATGCAAATAGTATGTAAGTAGATAAAAGTCGTGTCTATAGTTCGATTTAACCGAATTTTCTATTTGCGAGGAAATTCTTTCCGCAATTTTGTTTCATTCAAACGAATATCACTAAAACAAATGGGTCATTCAAAGCATACGTTGACGGAATGCTTGCAACTGTTCTTCTATTGACGATACACATAACGCACCATTGCACGCCAATATTTTGGGTTTCACGATTTCAATCATACGAATGGATGTTTAATCTGAATTTGGAGTTAGTTTCAAATCGGTAGTGAAATTCTGACGTTTACTGACCGATGGAAAATACGTGTATGTTTTTTGCTTGTTAAATACTGAGTATGAACAATTTTATGACGCTGATGCAGTTTCAGCTTTCATAAGAAAAATTGTAATATGTACAATATCGTGGAGTTTTTTTACAGATTTTGAAAACTGCTAGAAAATGAACTCTAAGACAGTAATGCAATTCTTACTGTAATATAAAAAAGTATTTCTCAGGATTGGCTGAGAGAATATTTAATTTATTTATTTTATTATGCAAATATTTAATAACAGCAAGAAATTTCAATAGAAATTTTCTATTTTCTCCCGTGGAAACATCGTTAAAAAACTCTGAATCATTTCCTGCCAAAATATTAAAATATTTCGACCCCACAATTTAAGATTTTTCAAATTTTCAGTTGGCTCATAATTGAATGGAGTGCGAAATATATATTCGTTATACAGTTCCACATCCATTGGGACCTTTTCGATAGCAGAAAAATATCTTCATCAGTTATTATTGGCTATTTTAACAGCCTCCGGTTTGTGGGCACTTCCACGGAGTTTGTCGATAATGTCGCCCAGGGTTTCTATAGGGCTGCTAGACTCTGCATCTAGAGGGCGGTCAAGTGACAGCTCGATTGTTTGGGATAGTAGGTGGCCACTGTAACATCGGGTAAATTAAGGATAATTTATTATTATTCACGTGAAATCTTTCTCAAAATGGAGCCAAAGAATGGAAACAAAGGATGAAAATAGGAAAAATTATAACAGTTGGTCTCGAGGGGCTATTCACAGGCGTAATCGTGGTGTCACTCGCTGATGTAATCAATTGTAATTCCAGTGAAATCAATGTAATCATTGTAATCACATGATTACCATATTTGTAATCAAGTTTTGGTAACAAGTGGTAATCATTTGTAATCACTGTCATCATTTGTAATCAGTGTAATCTTTCGTAGTTGCTCCTAGTGAGACCGTGAATTTTGTTGTTGAATTTTCGAGCGCGCCATTTCTACCAACGTTAAGCCTCAGAGATCCCTGGATTAATTTTTCTTGGAATCCCAGGTGTTTATGGTTCAGAACCTTGCATAGCCAATGCATTTTGCACAGAGCATTTGCCCGTAGAAAATTGATTCAACAGAGTTAAAATTTCTTCTTATTCTGGAGAACCTACCGACGTCCAATGGTCGCGGTGGCTAAATCGTTAGGTCGGCTTGGCCACTAGGAGGTCGTGGGTTCGAATCCTAGTCTGGTCGGATTTTTTAACTTCTGGAAACAGGGGTTGGGGGCTCGAAAGGGTGGCTGGGCTTCGGATCCCGATTGGGGGGGGGACCCTTAACTTCCGGTAAAGGGGGTTAAGGGGCTCGCCTGGGGCGAATTCTGGTGGGGTCCGTCTCACTTCGGCTCTGGACGAGCGGGAGGTTCCTAATAGAGGAATCGACTGAACCGACGGAGATTTTCTGTGGTTTCCTCCGTCTCTCGCGGGAGCAAATGCGGTACAGTGTAGCAAGTCGGCCATAGTCGCAAGTTAGGTAGAGGGTAGATGGCGAAGTCAACCAAAGGGTTTGAAACGTCTTAAATTAAAAAAAAAAATCTGGAGAACCAACAACTGAATTATCTCTGCATTATCTGCTTATCTAAGTTTCATTCTCCATCAATGGTAAATATTCTGTAAATTTATTTTGCTGATAGCTCTTATAAATGCCCAAATTTTTAGATGAAGTGATGAAGACTGCATTCCTCTGTTCTAATCCCCGCCCCTCCTTCCTCATTTCTTGGCGGGTTCTAATAATTAATTATTCCATCAATTCATATTTAATAAGAGGCCATTTTTTGTGATTTCAATGATTACAGATGTTTGGTAATCACAGAGTGTAATCGAAGAAATCATTTGTAATCATGTAAGCACATTCTGTGCTCTTGGTAATCACGGTTATCACATAGGCAATGGTAATTAGTGTAATCAGTCCCGTAATCGCGGTGTCACCCAATTCGCCTTTGAATAGCCCCTCGGTTGGTCTGCATTGCTCAAAAAAGTCATCAAAGCAAGGTGGGCGGTATTGGACGCATGCCGGGCGGTACCCACGTACGAAAAAACGAATGGGCCGAGCTTGGCCCAAGCCCGATGGCCGGCCTGCCGAACTTCGGGACCCGTTCCTCAACCGGGACCGCGCCGGACTTGGTTGAAACCTGGAATGATAACATCGGGCCAGGTCTGGGCGCCCATCTCGGCCCAGCGTTGATTGCCAGTCGTTGGCCAGGCTCAATTAAACATTACTTAATTACATGAATATGATAATATGGGTGATTGAAATACAAGTAATTTAATATTACTCCTCAGCATTCGTAATAGGTTCAACGAGGAAAAAAAATCAATACCGGCATGCGACTGGTGCCGCACTGGCTGCCAAACTATTCATGGCAATTATCAATAATAACAAAAACAAAATAATTAACATTTTTTAGGATGATTTTTAGTATTCATTGTGCCCTACCTACCAAACCCTAACGCAATCATCGCTGAAAAACCGATTTTGTTAACTTAAAATATTACCCCCTAACGTGGGCTCGAACCCACGACCTCACGACTACTAATCCGACGCCCTAACCACTAGTCTACCGCGCAATTCGTAAAACCTCTACTTCAAATCTTCCATATTAATTCCATCTCGGTTTTTTTCGACTTGAATGTTTTATTATTCAGTTGATAGAAATATTAAGTGATTCAACTACAGTTTAATCGGTAAATTAATTCAATAATGAATAATAATAATTATTATTATTAATTACAATAATAATTATAACAATTAGGATTACTGTTGAATGACCATTCTTCTTCTTTTCGTAATAATTAGCGAGTAACATGTGACTTCAACACCTACAATATTTTCGTAATAATTTAATATTTACCCTTAATATTTACCCTCAAGTTTCCACCCTTACCATTCAACCCTCAGAATGTCAGTCTTATGATTTTTTCGCCCCTTTCCATTATTGCGATTTGACCCTTACAATTTTACTCTTCAGATTTTACCCTTATGATTCCACCCCTATGATTCCATTCTCATCATCTCACCCTTACGACTTAACCCTTACAGTTACACCAACGGCTGGAGCCCAATGACCAAGCTCCGGGCCACCGCTGGCTGAGGCTTGGTTATCGAGCTCCGGCATGCCAGTGTCCGGCCAAGGCTGGGCCAGATCTGTCAACCAAGGCTCGGTTACCTGCCCTTCTCCCGAGACTCAAGCCCTGGTCCCCAGGGATGGCCGAACCTCGGTCCAAGCCTGGGCGCCCAGGCTTGGCAAGCCCAGGCTTGTGCCAGGCTTGGCCCGTTTCTCCAACACTGGCATTTCGTACGTGGGGTGCGGCGCGGCGCCCTTCGCGCGACCAACAGTGTTAATAAATTTTTTTATAGCAGAGTAAACCCATGGGTTTGAATGCTTCAATAAATAAAAAAATTCGGGATAGTTGGAGCACTAATATGTGCGATAGTTTGAGCAATGTTCATTGCAGCCATGAACCGATAACTTTATCAACATAAAGGGCGATATTGACTATCATATCAAGTCCAATTGACAACTGCGTCATCGTTTCCAATCATGGCGGTGGTCAATCGCAATGTAATTGGTTGAAGTATTCACAAATTCTAATGTTCACCATTTGAAAATCTATTATCGGAATTTAGTAATTTTTGAACCATTGAATTCCCGATTTTCTATTCTATATCTGCCTGAAATTTGTAAGCAAGGTGATAAGTTTGCAATTACAAGGATGGAAGTACAACTTACGCGAGCTCCTTTCGGTTACACTTACTCAGTTTTCATCGTTTCCTAGTTTCTAAAACTATTCGTTACAGATTTTAATTATATCGATTTGAATGAATAATAATTATATGAATTCTAAGATGTTAATTGAGTTCTGATATTCTAATGAGTAGTGTAAATATTTGAACAACCACGACAGATTCTATTATTGACAATAAGTCATGAAAGACCTGAATGGCTAGTAAAGTTGCGAAAAACTCTATATTTGAATTTTATTTCAAAATCTTTTGAGCTCACACTGTAGGACTGGACGAATTAACCAACTCAGAGAGGAGTGTCTGTGCTAATTCTACTAGCTTGTAACTGCTAAACTCATAAAAGTACCCAACATTAAAAAAACGTAAAGCTGGAAATAAAATGGATTTTAAACTGCGCGGCCTCGCGCCCCATGCCCTGCATGACTCTTTGTATACATGATTCTCATTTTTAACTGATATTCAATAATCATACGCCCCGGTACCCCAATTTTGGTAAAACATGTTACTCAAAATTCTTTCCATCAGGAAATCATTCCTAATGCACTTTTTCTTTACACAAGTAAATT